CCCGAAAATGAGCAATTCTGCAGTGATATCTGCTCACAGAACTTTTTTGTAAATCAATACTTGAGCTTGGATACTGACAAGAAGAATCTTTCATGCCATATTTGCGACGAAAAATTCAAATTTAGATGTAACTTGGAAATCCATATGCTCACGCACACTGATGAGAAAGCAGATAAGTGCAGAATGTGTGGGCTTAACTTAGTACATGATGGTTGTCTGGATCAGCACGGACTCACAAACATTGCAAAAAAGACATATAAATGTAAAATCTGTTTAATTGTATTTAAACAGAAAGCCACTCTGAATTGTCATATGCTCAAACATGTTGGTGAGAAGTCATATAAATGCAATCTTTGTGGAGATAAATTCACAAATATTTCTAGCCTGAATCAACACAAATGCATATATACTGTGGATAAGCCACACGAATGCGAAATTTGTGGAAGTAAATTTGCACATACTGCCCTTCTGAATCAACATAAGCACGTACGTCATGATACGAAGCAATATAAATGCAAAATTTGTGGGAGTGAATTCGCATTTAGTTCCGCCCTTCATGAGCACATCAACGAGCATATTGCCCAGGAAACATATCAATGTCAAATTTGTGGAAGTAAATTCGCAAATAGTTTTGACCTTAATCAGCACATAAGTAAGCATATTATTAAGAAGTTGTATGAATGCAATAGTTGTGGAAATGAATTCACAACTAATTTTGCCCTTAATCGTCATATGCGCACACATACTGATAAAAAGCCATATTAATGTCAATATTGTAGACGCAAATTCGCATATAGTTCTGGCTTCGACCGCTACATCAGTAAGCGCATGGCTGAGAAGCCGTGTAATTCAATCTGTGTGCGCGTACTTTTATGAGTTTAAGTTTTTTATCTCACATTTAAAGTTTACACACATTACCTGAGAAATATCTTGTGTAATTTATGGTATATTTTGTTAACAAAAAACGTGATTTCACGTCTTAATTAGAAAATTATGAAGAATTTTCCACGTACAATCAATTAATTATGTTTGTTCAACAGATCATACCATTTTATACTGTATGTTCTGGATGTTTGTTATGATTTTTGGATTGCAAATAAAGTTACTGGCAAATAATACTGAAATTATTTTTTCAAAACAGCAATGTAAGCTAAAATTGCGATATTAGGCAATAGCAGTTGCACTCTGATACCACCAATGCACGAATTACGCTACTCGGAGACAAATAATCAAAATTTTACGTGACATTTCGTCGTATACACTCCTCAACGCTTAGCCACCTTCAAGCATACAGTGTTCATGCAACTACGTACTTGTACTCTTCAATCCACACAAACCAGTCCATCCTCATCACTTACAAGCAACTTGTAAATTCCCCAAAGGAGCTTGCAAAGAATGACTGAACACCTTTAACTTCTCTCACGAAAATTTGAAGGAATATGGTGAAGTTTTAGACTGCGATAATTAATCAAAATTTGTTTCAGTTCCAATATATTTAGAAGAGACTTTGATGCGAAACAATCTGTTTTTATGTCGACAAATGCAATATAAACTTTTTCGCAGTACATTGAATTTCATCGCATTTAAAACCGAAAGTTGGTCATGACGAAGTCAATAATTGAGCTTGATCTATTTTGATAACAAAAATGTATTATTTGCTAAATTTATTACAAGTATTCGGCACCAATACATGATGGTTCACTGAAGAATGCGTAGAGATTTCTTGCATACAAAGTCTTATGATATCTTTTTTGAAAAATCAGTTTTAGATAATTTCCATTGATAAATGGTGCCATCATCGCCACTATCACTAACCAGTACATCTCCAACAAAAGTAACATTTTGTGTTGAAATGCTATAATTATAAGTTTCCCTGTATGACGCCTAAAACAAGTTAGTATCGAGCAGATATTTAGATGAAATTGAATAAAGACTGGATTAAAAGGTTGAAACAAACTTCAGTATTATTATGAATACATATATGTTATAGTCTAGATTCTTTAAAATTGCTAGTCCGTCAAGATTCAGTGGGTCTCAGAACTGTAGTATTTAATTTCAGAAACAAACATTCACTTTGAAATACAAGAAATCAAAATCTTAAGCGAATAATTTGCAACTATTAGAACTTTTCATCATTAAAATTAGTAAACTGGATTTGCAATCAAGACAGCTATATATGGGTGGAAATCTAACCAATGTCGTTGTCGTAGGATACTGATAAAAGCGTAATGTACCATTTTTGAGAGCTACTGCAATATACTGCTCATCTGGACTACGTTCTATTGCTGCGATAGATCCTAATAAAGCCCAAGAAATGCAAGCATTCTCAAAAGAAATTTGACATCTTGCTGAAGCCCATATGACATCCTTCGCTTCCTCTACTTTAACTGGCTTACCATTGCTTGAATTCCCTGAATCATTAAAATAAATCCACGAATAAAATACAGTCAGAAGTTTAGTTGCAGCAGAAACAATGCTTTGTTAAATTGCACTAAATATTCCAATATTCTACTCTGTCTGAGCCATTTCTGCAACACAGAAGTCTTGATATTGTTTCAGAAAGTGAAGGAGATATAATAGTAAATAAATAGCGCCTAAATATTAAATTAAAAATAAATAATTAATTAATATGCGTTTTTGTCAGTTTCTGTCAGCCAATAAGCCAAGAAGAAGAAAAAATATGGCTGAAACCAAATTATGCCCATAAATGAAACAAAATGTAATTCTGATTATCCCTCCATAACTGAAGGCTTCATTAAATCACTACTACTCCAAATATTAAGCTGAATTTCAGATATTTTCATTAACTTTGCTTTCAAATAATTGCAATAGGTATTCCAATTATGCTTTTATACAAATAAATAATTAATATAAAGATTTCAAAGCTCTTGAAAATAGACACTTTCACACTCATTGCAATTTCATTCCCATACAGCTAATAATGCAAAATTTGTGCAGCAAAATGGCATTGGTCATTAAAATTCATTCTCAAATGTGAACAGTAACACTCCAGTACAAACCAATAATACTGAATGATAATACTTTGCGCAAATAGTATTTGTTTGATGATAACTTGATTTAGCTATATCAAGAAAGTATATCTACGCACTATATCAAAGATTTTAACTCATACTGCAGAGACTGAAAATGTAATTCAAAAATTTACAAATGTAATGTTGATAATTTTCATCGTTCGCCCGCAACATAGTGTCATTTGCAGCCCAGTCTATAGTTATCAATGAAGAATTTAAATCCTAAAATCAGTTTTCATTAAAAGACATGGTATTAAATAGTAATACATGGTATTACACTGTAATACATGGTATTAAATAGTAATACATGGTATTAAATAGTAATACATGGTATTCAATAATACAATTTTTTCTTCTTTATTAAAAATATTACTAAAAATTAACTATGTACACAATTTAATCATTTCGAGAAATGAATATTTCCTCTTTTCAGATGAAAATATTTACCGTAATTTCCGCTCTCTTAACGCAAGAATGGTATTTTCCATAGAATACATAGACGGATAAGTTTTTCTCCTAAAATATAAAAAGGTTTGCTTTTCGAAAAAATTAAGCCATATATTTTGCTATATTTTCATATTACTAATACATTTTTAACTGATTATTACTGTCTCCATTAATGGAATATACGCAAAAATATTATAGAATGACAAGACTGATTTCAAGAACGTGAAAAAAGATCCAGATTTTTGTTAAAATATAAGTACTTGCTCTACAGACAGATTGATATGTACCAAGGTATATATCAAAATCAGAATGAGACTCATTTTTTTAGATCATAAGGTTGACGGAAAATATCATTTCTACAATATCTCAACGTTTTTAATCATTAAATTATCAGTATTTTTGACGTAAATTTGAACTTACTTTCGTTGCAACTGCTAAAAAAAGACCAGTTGCAGAAAATCGCACGACTGTAATAACATTCTTTACTTGCTCGTGAACTACGTGAAGTTGCACTTGTGACGTGAAGTCATACACGGCCCATGACCCATTATTGAAGCCGGTAACAAATATATCACCTTCTGGATGAAAATCGGCACAACATATAGCATCCTGCTTTTATGACTCATAACATAACGCAGTGTACTATTAATATCAACAATATCATATCATATCATATCACTTATTGATAACTCGTTATATTACAAATATTTGAAAATTTTAGAAAAACTAACCACAACTTGTAAACTCCAAATAACAGTTTTTAATTTTGTATCATAGAGACAAAGTTTATTGTCATTAGCGCAAGAAGCAAGAAATTGTGGTTTTTTAGGATGAGCAGTTATGTGCATCAAAGTACTGACCTGAGCCTAAAACTCAATTTTCACCAACAATTATTTAGAATTCTCAGCAAGACTGCAAAATTCTTCGCACTGTTTGTTTATTCGAGCTTCTATTTTTATGAATTAATAAAGAGACTAGAAATTCAACTTTACATTATCCAGTAATCACAAAAATTTAGAATTGTACTTGTTGAATTGGTTCAAAACCATTTTCTACAGTACCATTCCAAATTATATTTCGAGTGGTACCTATCAATAACTGAAAATCAGAAGTACATACAATAGTTCGGATATAGCCACTTTCTTGTACAGAAAACTGAAAAATATGTATGAAATCATCAAATGTATCTTATAAAATATAATTATTCATGAATAAATAAGTTAAAAAATAAGGTATTTTAATGTATATACACTAAAGTTTGAGCTTAAATTCAAAAAATGGATAAAAGCAATAAATAAAAGTGTACCATGCTAAGAACACGTAATTTTGTTAAATCATTTGTCTGCCATTCTGTTAAGCTTCCATCTTTTCCCGCGGATAAAAAATGTGCGTTTTTAAGGGAACATAACGCCCATACACCACCAACGTGAGCCTGAAATGTAATACATGCAAATTTCCTTCACAAAAATTGAATTTACTGATGGTAGTAAGATAAAAATGGAACACAAAGTAATTTATCAGTAAGTATTCAAATTCCTATTACTCCATGATTTTATTCCTAAAACTTGAAAAATAACAAACATTCAGTGCTTGTCGAATCATTTCAACTTCACTGGTGTCCCAAAGGGTTAACGTACCATTTGAATCCCCTGTTATTATGTTACCATATTCAGTGAACTGTGAGCAAAGTACTAATTTTGGTTTATTTCGACCCTTTAATTAGATGACAATCAAAAAATATTCAAGTTTTCTGAAAATTTAAATGTACTATTTCTTTGTGATTTAAGTAGCAAACAAGAATTAGATAAAAAATTAAATGGCAACTTTTTGAAAATGACAGACTTACTTTACTGCAAACTTTAAGTAATACAAGAAATGTATAATTTAATTTAGCTTGAAAATTCAATTTAGTTTTACGATCAATTCAAGCAGTACAGTACTCTTTCTGTTTCATTAAACTCATACAGTGATGATTATCTACTCTGATCTCTCTCTCTACATATATGTAAGTAAAAGTAACTTCACTGTCACTTTCTAACTTAATCCGCCACTTTTTGTGCCCAGAATTAGGCAAAAAATCTGCTCTTTCTTAACTTTTGTAGATATAGAATTTCTATATTATCAAAGGATACAATTAAAAAAACAAACACAATTCTTCTAACCTGGAATATGATAGGTTTTTTGATGACCTTTTGATTACTTACAGTCCAGAGATTACAATGACCCTTCCCATATGATAGCAGCATATTTGTGGAAAGTGGATGGAACTCGCAGGCAAAAACTTGATCATTAGCACTCTAGAAAGAATAACACTCTAGAATCATCACTGAAACATTGATAACAAGTTGTAATCGCTTTGGTCGACTACAAGAGAGACAGAGAAGTTGATTGAATCTGATGCAAAAGTATTCATCATAAAATAAATTTATAACTGATTCAGTTAACTAGCGTATTTTACACAAATGTATACTTTCTACATCATTTCCTTAATTTAATTTAGCCAAAACTAGCTTGAAGCATACTAATTTACCTTAGCTTCAATGAGTTTTTTCTCTTGGCGCCAATCCCAAATGCTAAGGGTATGTTCGTAAGAATCATCAATGACTGCCAAGTAAATACCATTTGTACCGCGACTAAACGCACAACACTGAACACCTCGATCAAAATTTCCTTCCATTCCAATTACGCATAAGGTTTGCAATGTTACTGAATCCCAAATGCGTACGTGAGCCTAAAAATTTGTTGTCAAGCATGCGTAAAATTTATAAAAAAGATAATTTAAAGTTGAAATATATCGCCAGCAGAATTTTTTAATGTCTAAAATACAGGTCAATTGAAATGAATTTTCGATTAGTACTAAAAAGTCAGCTTTAGGTTTTTTAAATATACTTCCGAAGTTCATTCATAATCACTTACTGATTTTCAGCAGTGCTACGATTAAGATTCCAAACATATCAAAAGTTTTCAGCTGTTTTTTAATTGGAGTTGAAAAAAAATACCCTGTACTGATCAGCTTCCAATATATTGTTCAATTCTGTAATCGATGATATTGGAGAACGATGAATACTAAAACGCTGAAAACAATGCTATACCATTTCCTGAACGAATCTATTCAACAATAAATTTATCTAAATTATTTAAGCACAATTAAATAATATTTATTTACTCTTATCTTTTCGTGTAGTAATTATTGTCTGATTTAATCTTTATTTAATCTAATTAGTAACAAGTGACTTGTGACTTGCATATAATCACAATTATGCAAATTTGTGCGACAATTTTTTAAACATATAATAGTCAGAATTAATTAGTGCTATCTCATTGAAAGATTTATTGAAATAAAAAGTAGTAAGTATATTAAAGTTCAATTATTTTTATAATACGTAATATAAAAGTTAATAAACAAAAAGTAGCAGCGTTTATAGGAATGACATTTTAAAAAATATTTTTGTAAAACTTCGAGAAGAGAGAATAATGTTAAAATAGATTATTCTTAGCTCTTATTAATTACTATAGATAATCAAAAATAAATAACTGTTTTTTCTCGGAAACGCCGTGATGTTTGTCCCGTAGCCACGTGAAGTCTGTTTGGATGAACTGCCATACTAAAATATTACTTTACTGTTTTTCATATTATTTATTCAATTGTTTATTATTTCTCTATGTTCATTTATTTATGTATAATTTACGTGATTATTACATAATTTTCATCAGCTATCGAGAATCATTCATATTTTAGTACTATTATTTCTGATTTAATTTCTTATTAGTGTAATAATAATCAGCACTCATTAGGAAATTAACTAATTAAAGTGACTTATCAATTTGAATTGCAACATTTAAATAGTAAGAATTACAAAAAACCTCCGAATTGTTGTCACTTTTCTAGTTACCAAAAATAATTTAAAATGGTATATGGTCATTTATCTGTTTAAATGTTTCAGAATTTTGAATTGCTTCACGAAATTTCTTCTAGAGTACCACATTTTCCAGTATATAAATACTGAAAAATAATAACTGAAATTAAATAATGAAAATTTTTGATTAATACCACTTAATATCACTGGTATGCTTTGCATAATATCGTTGCAACTTTTCTTTTATATTATGAAGTACCACAATAGTCCCAGTAAAATAAACAATTTCACCGGTGGGTAACTCATGCAAGTTTCCACGGCAATCTTTGCCTCGATATCTGAAGTATTGTAGTCAAAGCATTAACAGAATAATAATTATAAGGATATCTGCTAAATTAAAAAATTAAAAGAGATATTAATCTTTTTAATGATAAGATCAGAGAGTTAATAAAGTGAGGACAAAAACGATTTCAAGTAGAATTTGATGTACTCGAATTTTTTTGTGATTACTATGGTTCAAGCTTATGAACTGCTGTGAAACCTTAGGCTGTGATTTTTTAAACTTTAAAACAAAATAATCACAAGTAAGATATACCTATGATTTCAAAGCGTAATACACGACGAATTCTTGCTTAATATAAGTTTAAATATGTCATAGAGTAGTTATGTAAACTAGCAAGTTAGCACAATAAGTGTGTAATAATTATTTAAATTAACCCGTAAACCCAATCAAGTGACGGTTGACATGAAGGAGCATCAAGCTCACGAGAAAGGTCAAAGTTTGTCATGGAATCTGGCACTGGAAGTTTTATTTTTTTCCCATTAACAGGAACTTGTAGGATACCTTTCTCATGCAGATATAATGGTTCTTGTGATTTTAATCTGAATTATAGCTTTATCCTTTGAAATAAGATTAATATTCGATCTCATCTTTTATTGTCTACAATTAGTGATTAGATTCTGGATAAAAAGTTGATAATACATTATACAAAAAATATTTACAAGTATTGTAAAGAGTAGTAAAGTTTTTAACTATGATTTACCGGAAACATGATGATGAATAATGTGAAGCGCTGAAACTGCTTGCTGGTCCAAGTTTACTGAATTAAGGTGAATAAAGTACTAAAAAAATGTAAGTAAGAAAATATTAAATTGTTAACTTCAGCTAGTTAGATCCTCTTACTTATACAATTTTTTCAAAAAATTTAAGTGAAATAAAATAAAGTATGAAAATTGAAATTCGCAAGTGCATACCTTGTTGACTTAGGGTTCGTAAAATTAGCTGTGGAAGTAACAAATTTGCGGTCCTTAATTGAATGATGTTTTGAATCACGTCGTTGACCACATTTCACGTCAGCACTACTCATCCATTTTCTCATGTGTACTATTGTTGGTAATGATTGCTTTTGACCTTCTTGACTGGGTGGATTCAATTTTTCCTCTGTTTCAATCATTGAATGACCAGATTTTGAATACGCTTTCATAGTAAAATACTACAAAAAAAAATTCCAGAACTGTACTGATAATGATTCCATAGCAAAAAAACTAAAAATGCTGCAAAAGTAAGCATTAACTTATTGGTTAATATTTCACTGGAAATGTTTTGAATTAATAGTTTTAGACTGCCTGAAAAAGCAGTGAATAAGAAGGCAAGGAAAGATTCATTTCATTTTCAGCACATAATACTAATTAATTAATTAATTAATTGAAATTAAAAAAAGACAACTAAGAAATCTCTCAAAAAAAAAAGACTGGAAATCTAATTAAAGAAATCTAACAAAAGTGATATGTGAAAAATTAGATTTTCGTGAATGGAAAACGAATAATATGAATTAATTCTTTAATGTAATTAATTTTAGCATGATAAATTATTAAACAAAAGATTTGTTCTCAGATACGGAATTAAATTCTCCAATTCATAAATAACTTCTGGCAACAAACTTAAATCGAAGCAAATTAAACAATAAGACTTTCCAGTCTTGCCTAGCCTTTTAATGAATCTAAGTTCCTTCATTATTATTCAAAAATATTTTTTAGCTTCAAAATTACATAAATTCTTTCGTATAAGAGTTCTCGTTTAATAAACATATCATCTAAGAAATCAATTCAAAAAAGTAATTGAATGATTTATTTTTGAGTAAAACATATTTTTAAGTAAAACATTCACACTAATAATGCAAATGAAAAAAAGCCAAAACAAACAACAAAGTTGTAAATTTAAATGTGTAAATATTTGCTGTGAATTATTTGTTTTGTAAAAAATAGTGACGTTGTCTCGAAAATATATTTGACGTACGCCAGACAATGCCGTGAAAACCAATTTTAATACGTCTTTTTTCTTTTAAGCAGTAAAGTAATACACACTGCACTGCCTTAGGTTTTTAGGTGTGTGAGAAATTTGTGCACAATAAATAAAACTTTTATTTGAAATAATTTGAAATTTTTTTGATCTGTTTAAAAGCCTAAAACTAAATCACATAGAAGTAATCTGTCAGAAGAAATCTCTATCACTTTTCATCATTTATATAAATTGCATTCAGTGCTTAACTTCATTAACATAATACTTCTGCCTTCAGTTAAAAAATATTCATATACATATATTTAAATTATACTAGTAATTAATTTTACTTGCAAATATATTAATTTAATAAAGCAAATAGATGAAATCATTTTTGATGGAAAATTAACTGAAATGATTTTATCTATTTTTTGAAGATTTTATGATTTGCGCATGCAGTGAATAGTCTTCTAATTACAAAATTTTGGATCTATCAGTTTAATTAAGGTTCACTTTGAAGATTAACCAGTTATTATATGGTTTAACAGGTTATATATTAAGTACCTTATAGATAAACAGAGTAAACAGTGCTTAAACTTAAAACAAATAAAGTCTTAAATTCAGTTGTCTTTGCTACACTTGTGATCTATTGAATCCTTTGAAATTGATCTAAAAACTGAATTAATCTTATACTTTTAATTTTTTATCGAAATTAAAAAATTAAATTCAAGCAAAACTGTAACTGGAAGTTAAAAAATATACCACATAGTAATTCATTCTCTTTTAAACCGATTATTGCTATCAATTTAATAGAAACGCTTAATCTCACATTTTTAGTAATCCCTTGATATTATCTCTCCTTTTAAACATTTTTCTATTTTACAAAGTTGACGTAGTTTGTACTTGTGGTTTTATTATTAAATTATTCATTAACAAATACAAAATTTCTTTGGTCGCTGGTCAGTTGTTTAATTATGACTTGGAGAAAAAAAAATGACCAGATTAATTTATATTTGAACATAAGATGCAATAACAACAGTATTATAAAAAGTAATAGAAATGATAATAAACAACAACAAGTAGCTAAGATAAAAATTTCTAAACTAAATTTGCAACAAAAAATAAACGTTAGAAAATAGTAAATATTTAAATTAGTGTTGAGACGCTATCAAGAGCGATATGAAGAAAATATGCAAGTAATTATAAAGTAACTGATAAAATAAATAAATTCTAATAATTTTAGCGTCAGATACGAGGTCAAAAGTTAATGCCTTTCTAACAATATCAAAAAATTAGCTTATATGTATCATTGTAAGCTTGGAAAAGTTCGACATACAGGTGATTAGCCTGAAATCGCAACCTTTGCATGAGGTACCATTCGCAACCAAATAAGTAGTTCATTTGTAGAACCGCGGTCCTGAGTCCTGTCTTCCTCCTTATGCAGGCATTGCTATTCTCAATATAACTAACTAAATATTTGCAAACTGATAAAACTAATTAAAATGATAATTTCCTTGTGGTGAATAAATAATTGCTTGCAAGATTTATGCAATAATGCAATAGTTTTCATTGACTGAAGACAAAAAGATATGCAAAAGCTAAAATATTTCGTTTGAAATAGTAAAAATATTCAAAATATGTAAAAATTTTTATTTAAAAAAAGAAAAGTTTTTACTTTACTGAAAAGTAATCGAAAGTAAAGACGAAAATAAGTAGAAGAACACAGATGCAAATTAGTAGAAAGAAACAGGCGCTCGTGGAGGAGCTAGAAATATCAAAAGTTAAAGTCAAGCAGTTCAAATTGACAAACGGATTTTAAACTTAGCTGTAAATAGTAATTTCAGGCAAAGATTGATAAAAACTGAAATGAAAGATTTGAAAAAGGTGTAATATTTTTAGGATCGAAAATGAATGGATGATTTTCCATTCAGTAATGGTTTTAAGAGTAGTTGTGCTTGGATATGCTAAAGGTAGCAAAATATTGAAAAAAGCTTTTAGATATCAAAAAATTAGCGTTAATAGATGCTGCTATGAATAATAATTTCAAAGATAGACATGGATATGGAAGTATACTGAAATCTATTTTTCGATATTTTCAATTATGCAAAGACATTTCATAAAAAAACAAAATAAAGTAAAAAACTTGCTAATAATTACTACTTTTTGAGCTTATGATCAAAATTAAATTAAAAATTCTAATCTTTAATTCGTAAATTAAATTTTTAAAAATAAAAATTCAAAAATTTTGCGAAAAACTGATTAGATTTGTTAGATAGAAAAGTTGATTAAACTTTAAAATTTCAAAATAGGCCAAGGATTCTGTTTTGCATAAAATTGTGTAGAAAATTGAATTTTTGAATTTTTAGGTCATTATTTGATATCTGTGAAAACAGTCTTAAATTAGCTTGCACGTGAGGTCATTATCATATATCAAAAAAAAAAAATTGAATAAATTTGAGAGTATAGTTAAGAAATTCTTGAAAGATAATATCACATTCCAGCAATTTTAACAACAGGTGTAATCTTCTAATATTTTACTAAACATTTTGAGTAAATATTCAATAAGTAATATTAATAAATCTAGAACAAATACTTAATTAATTATATGTGCTAAAATAACTTTTTAGAAAAGTAGATTTTTGAAGCGATATACCTCAGGTACGGACAAATAGTAACTGGTAGTTTTCAAAAATTAAACAAATAGCTTGAAATTTAATAATTGATAAGCTATAATTGATAACTATGATAAAAACTTTCACTGAATTATCTATTCAAATTATTTAATAAAGTAAGCAATGAAAATGAGTTTGCACTGAATAAAATTCTTTATAAAAATCCAACACATTCTAAAGATAAAGTTTTTAATATCAATCTTCGAGAATTACTCTTGTTTTTTTTAAATTTACGATCAACAATTTGATCATTAAGAATGAATGATAATAGTAATTAGTTTTGATCTGCTGAGATTTTAATTGAATTATTTACCATAAATCGATATAAGTAATTAAATATAAAAATCATAATTTCCATAAGAATTATAATTTTCATAAGAATCATAATTTTCTTAATTTATCATAATTTTATAATCCGTTACTAATTTGAATGCGATAATATTCGTATAACCATTAAGTTAATAAATTTTAAGTGGAAATTTGTCATTACATTACTGACTAATTCAATGATCATTTCTGATTAATTTTTTATTTTAGAAATTAGTCAAGAATAGTCATAATTTTTCTCAAACAAAAATATCAAAAATTGATGCAAATGAATTTCACGTATTCATCGAAATATAAATTTTGAATTTCACGTTCTATCAAAATGTATATTTGAATTTCACGTATTCATCAAAATGTGAAGTTTGATAAATACGTGAAATTTATATGTGTCATTGAAACTGCTTTCTGAAAAATTTCAAATTAGCCTTGAAGTTTATTATTAGCATCAATTGTAATGTTAAGTGGAAGGAATGAAACAAATTCAGAAAAATTTGTCGATTAAATTTTATTTGAAATTTATAAAACTGATAAATTTTTCACGAAACTTTTAGAATTGAAAGAATAAATAAATTAAAAATAAAAACGAACAATTGCTCGTTTGATCACAACAATACTTATTCCTCTGAAATCGTTATTCGCAATTCAAAATATAAACACTTTCTTCGTTTCACTAAAAATCGATCATTGATTGTAGGGTCAATTTATGAGGTCATACATGTTTTTGAAAATTTTGTAAATAATTTGTAATAATTCAAAGAATGCCAAAAAGTCAGATTGAAAAAATCAAAGTCTGGTAAATTTTTTAGCTAAAATCCTGAAAATTCATATACTTTTTCAAATTATTCTTTCAAAATTTCAATCCTAACCTTGCAATAACTATAAAAGTTTGCTAAACTTAAAATATTTTAATTAGAACAATTAAAATTTTAGCTAAAAAATAAGCAAATTTGATATTTTCTAATTTTACATCGTTATTTCACATCATTATTTGTCAGAAGAAGGAAAATTATAAATTTATATCACTAGTTTTTTTTAATTCTGTTAATAAAATCCCACTCATTTACGTGTAAAATTTTTTTATATTTTGATAAATACGTAAAATTCATATGTAGAATTTTCTTACGAATAACTTTTCAGCAGCAAACAGAAGGAACAGCAGACTGAATTAGTTCTAGACAAGTTAGTACAGCTATTTTGATTAATTTTTAGAGGCAATTCATAAGGTTACTTTATATTTTTACAGTAAAAATACAAAAATTTCTATTTTTGTAACAAATAGTGAAACTTTTGTGAAATATCATTACAGAGTACAAAAAACTTTAGCCATCAAAGCACTTAAATTATTGCACCAAAGTTAATTCTGAATAATTATTATCATTTAGACTAAGTCTCTCATTTGTGCTGACTAAGTACAACTATTACTTTTAGCAAATAGTAATATCTAAAAATGAAAGTTTTTACTATTTAAGTAGGTTTTCAAACTGCGTGAAAACCAGTTTTTAGAATCAGTCAGTGAATTTTAAATACTTTCAATAGTTCATTTTTATCTACTGTTAATTGAGAATCAATTTTGCGCTAGCAAAAATTTTATGAACTTTTGGTAATTATACCATCTATGAAATTGTATTTAAAACACGTATGAGATTTCTCTAAAATTATTAATTCTCAACAACTAATGAAGATAACAATTAATGAAGATAACCTTTTTATTAACCAAACAAAGAGTGATAATTCGAGTTTATAATTCTCAAAATATGATAATAGTATTAATTATGACATTATTTCATTGACACAATATAGTTTAAGAATATATTACAGAGCACTTATTATGATTTTTACTTAATACGGACAGCATATTGCAAATAAAAAATATTTACTAAGCATGTTTTGTTAATTCATCTCGAAGGATTTCAAGTAACTGATTGTTTTTGAAAGTATTTGCTACCATTCATGAATAAATTAAAGAACTTGGAAAGCGCAATTCGGAAACAGTACACAAAAATTTCAAAATTAAACTCATAAATTTAATAATTATTCGACCTTTTAAACATATAAATTAAATTTTTTATAAACTTGATAATTATCTGACTTTTTTAATAAACAAATTAAATTTTTTATATATTTTTTAAATCTTTAAATTCAAATAAATAATTACTTATTTATTAGTTATGCCAGAAGTGATACTATACTATTAAGGAAAATAGTACAATGAAAAATGCTTAGTATTACAGAAGTTGTTGATAGGGAAAATTTAATAAGAAAAGAAGGAGGCGAAAGGCCAATTTAATTTCGAACAGTTTAAAAAATCATAATTTCTGAGATATGACAATGACTAGTAGAGTCAACATTTCACTGTGCCGCGAAAAAAGTGAATTACAAAGTAAACTCAAGGTGTTACTTTTCGCTGAAATGCGATTAATTTGATGGGAGGTATTTAATGTATGTAAGGAAATAATGCTGCTTACTAATTTTGAAGTTCACAGTTCACGCAATTCCAGTTTTTTTAAATGTTAGGAAAGAGTATTTTGGAATTTTAAATATTTAAATACATCACGTATTGGCGTCAAATTCGACGTTCAGCGACATTTTTACTCGTTAAATTTTTTCATACGTATTCAGCATATATAAATATAAAGCATATTAAAGAAGTGTATTTGGTTTGATAGAAGCTTTTAATTTTACAGCATATATGTTGCATGCGTAAAAAATATTGTGTTGGAGTTGACTTACTAGACGTGAAATTAATTTATTATTTATATCATTATTTAGATCGTGTGATATTCTTCTTTACTCCAAAAATTTTTCAGGACATTATTGTTTTTTTCCCAATCAATTTTTTTAGTTAGAACTCTGATTTATTTCTGATAGCATCGATCATGGAACTTCCACCTGCTTTGACTTCGCTTAAAAAAGGGTATGTTTACTACATCGCTTTTATTACCTGATTAACTTTTTTGGTCATACAATTAGAATCAACTCTTTCCATTTCAGAAATATCACAAAAATCTTTTGTAGTTTTACTTTCTAAGTCAGTATATTTACAATGTCATAAATTCCAGATCATTTGCATATCTTACTGTACGAGATCGCTGGCCAAAGATAATAACAAAAGTTGTTGATCAAGTTTATCGATATCGACATGCCCATATTGCTGTACATGGTGAAGTTGGTATATTATTCAGACATGTTTTTTATTGAACCTTTTTATGAAACTGCATATTTCTTGGTTCTTTTTATGAATTTACAAGTTTGATCAAGATTACATAAGGTATTGCTATTTTCCATCATCATTTTATGGAACAATACTCTTGCATTGTGCTTTAATTTTTGAGGTTAAATTTCATTACTTTGCAGATCTGTATGTATCGGTTAATTTCTAATTCCAGTTGTTTGAATTATTAGTTAAGTTATAAGATGTTTTTCTTTTCTTTTAAGATCAAACATTTTAGATTTTCTCTTATTTTGATAACTTTTATAAATTTTGAATTAGCATATTTGTGTATTGTAATTATTTTTTTAATGAGGTGCTTCGTAAATTAGATCATTATATTACAAATATTAGTTATTAACTATTGCTCAGTAGTGCATTTCCTTGAGTTAGTAATGCACCTTTTTTAGAAAATTATGTGACCTGTTTATACTTTTTTTTAACATTTTAAATTCATCGAAATTTTAAATTCTGAGTCTTTTAGTGCATGAGGTTTTGATTTTGTTTCTGTAGTACGTGTAATCGTTTTAGAGAGGTGAAGAGGATATCAGATCACTCTTGAGTGAGTTATCAGAATTGCGATATCATGTCTCAACTGATAAGCCATTACGAAATCTTGAAGATAAAGCAGAAAATTGTGATCTCTGGAATAAAGAGTTAAAAGAACTGCGAGTAAAAGTAATGTTTATTTCATATTAAAATAAATGACTTAAATTTTTTCCTTCAAAAGGTGAATGGGTCTACTTGAATTTTTCAGTCATTTGCTCCTTCATTATTAATTACAAATTTCTCACTTTTTAGTTTTTGCATGCTTTTTTGGGACAGTAGAACACTTAATTGCCCAGATTTGCTTACATTCACAAATTATTTTTTCAGCATTTATTACTATTTAGTATTTTTTTTACTGCGCACTCGTTTGAGAAAAATTTTAGAAAGGTGAAGATCAAGTGACTTGGTATCGTTGTGACTGGTTATTTGCTGAAACGTTTTTATATCGAACAATGATTGGATTATTTAAAAAAACAAAGACGTTACAAGAATTTGATCCTTTTGCATCACAGAAACAAAGTTCCTTCATTGATAGGTGTGTATTTAATGTTGCTATTTCTTCTAGTTATATGAATTGTTACTACCACTTATTATTTTATTCATCCGTAATTGTTGCTGTAATAAAAATTACAAAATATTTTTAATTTTAAGCTCGAATTGACAGATTAAATGAGTGTCATATTTGGGTATTCCATTGACTTTTATTTCAGTGTGAATGCTATGATTCTTCTTGCAAAATATTTAGAAGAAGTTAAGGCAGGAAACTCAAAAGCTGAAAACGTAATCTCTCAATTTTTTCAGGTAACTGTTTATTATATTCTAGTGATTCTGAAATTCAAAACATAATTCATGTATATTTGTATGTATATTACGTGTATATTTTCATTCAGAATCTGTATTTTTATTTAGATATGCCTGTGGGGTAATACATGTGATCTGTCACTTTCTTGTGGAGAACAGGTTGCATCAGTATCTTTGTTGGATATGGTTCATCAGTTAGCCAATAAAATTCTCTGTAATCATATCGAAGAGACCGAAGATATCTTAAGGTATTTCATTGATTCAAAGATCTTTGAATAATATTAGCAGTTTCTAAAGTTTTGTTAATTTTTCAAAAGTTGATTTCGTATTTTTTGTCGTATAACTTAATATACTTTGACTATTACCATGTTACTAGATCTGCCGAAGTGAACTGCATAGATATAGTTCTTGATAATGCTGGTATTGAACTTTTTGCTGATTTGGCACTAGCAGAATTATTAATGAGTGTGTGTTCTGTCAAGAAAGTCCGTTTTCATGGAAAGGTTTTTAACCTTTTTTATTGTTTGACATTACAAATATTAATTGCTTAAAGTTACTTGGGAACTTTGAAGAGATGAATTGTATGATGTGATCCACTAATTTTTAAAATAAATAAAGTGCCCTCTACTGTCAACAATAAATAAACGAAAAAAGCGCTTACTGGGAATTTGAAATCAGTTACATTAGTTTTGTTTATTCACAAAATTTGAATTTTTCTGTCGTTTTTAGTATCTATTTGAGAATTTTGTGTAGTTATAATGTAAAAATGTCAGGTTTCCATGATTTGATTTGTTATTAAAACAAATTTGGTCATTGTTTTGTTCGTGAACTGTAGGAAAAACATTACCAAGTTTTTATTTATTAATTTTAGACTATGCCATGGTTTGTTTCTGATGTAACTAGCAGTGATTTCCATTGGATTATTGAAATGTTAATTGGTAACTCAAATCTTTCTCTGAAGTCTTTCGGCATGAAGTGTTCTCAAAGATTAACTGACGTATGCTTTTTGATGTTTGTGGTACCTGAAAGTATTTCAAAAAATTTGGTTGGTTATTTATAGTTTTTGTTGTAATATATAACATTTGATATTTCTAAGAATGCATTTTCAGGGTCATTTTATTTTTGAAGCTCATAATTTTTGGACTCTTTCATATCCTTATTTTCGAATGGCAGAAAAATCTCCAGATCTATATCATAAATTATCCCAGTCTTCGTTAATTATTTTCAAAGGTGACCTGAATTATAGAAAGCTCGTTGGTGATCTCGATTGGCCACTAGATACTCCTTTCAAAGTTAGTCTCTCATTTTATGTTCTGTTGAGATTCAAATCAGTGAATTTGTTTCAACTTTTTTTTAATTAATCAGGTTTAAAAAGGTTAAGGAAACGTTGTTGATCACTAAATGGATTGTTATATAGTTCTAAAAGGTGTGGGTGAACGAATTTTAGGTAGCTTTGCAAGGTTTTGCTCCGGCTCCGCTTTTGGCACTTCGTACCTTAAAAGCTGAAACTGTAACAGGATTAAGCTCTACAGTAATCAATGATTTAAGTCGCAAGTATGGTCAGGGCAAGAGCTGGATGGTTACTGGGGAATATGCAGTAATTCAGTTTGCGAATTGATCTCTTTTTATATTGTTGACTTTGTAATTTTGTTGGATGTATTGATCTGTAAATGCTATAAGATCAGTCGTACATTCAAGCTTAAAATATTGTTGAGAATGACTTCAATTGTAACATCAGTAACTATGCAAAATAAAGGAATAATTTAGTCTTCATTCATGGGAAAGACAAATAGTGATAATCGCCCTCATTCATGAGAGTGAATTTACTATTTATCCATTTCGAAAATAGATTTGATAAAAGAAATGAAAATGATCAAGAATACTATGGTGTTCGAAAGGACAAGATTAGAGGATTCGAGAGAAGGAATTGTAAATGTCATTCATGTGATGAGTTTTCTATCAGTTTTGCGTTCGTCCTCATGAAATTTCTATTGTAATGGACCGTAGGAAGTCAGTAACTGTAAAAGTTCTATATGACATTTTAATATTTAGAGTTTTCGTGATGGTCTTTGAGGTTTTCTTTCGTGTTGTGAACTATACAGAGTTAAACATGTTCTCGGGAACTTTCACTAAGGATCTATGAATCAGCAATAAAATCTGGGCCCAAAAAAAAGGATAGGCTATCAAGTTCTTTCGTAAATGGAATTATCAAGTTTGAAGTAAGGTTTTTAACGTGCAGTAAGTGGCAACTTTTCAAGGCATGTTTAAATAATTTATGCAGTAAAGAACGAATCTAGATATTTTAGGTTCAAATTTAGATACTTAACTTTGTTGAATCAGAAGAGTTTGATCGTGGTTCATCACTTCAGTCTAGGTCACTGTCTTCATTGTCCTCATTTGTTTCTTGGATTTAGTATTTTTATCATAAAATTCAATTTGTATTCTGTAAAAACTTACTTATTTTACCGTGTAATTAATTTCTGTATAAATTCATTGTTTTTGATTTTTGTAATTTTCCTGAAAACTGCTACTTTTTTATTCCTTTTACTTTATATTCCGTAACAAAGTTGTTTCTTATTTCTTCCAAAGCTTTAAAATCACGTAGAAAAATTTAATTCTTGCTATTATCATTTGAAAAGTAAAAAATTCTATTCGATTTTTCAATTTCAATTCTGATTTGACGATGTCTAATATAAAACGTATTGAAATTGCTTTTCAAATGAATGTATTTGTGATTTATTTATTATATTTTTGATCTATTTATTATCGCATACATAAGTATGCGATTTAGTGCAAGTAATCATGTGCTTTTTTATGGTTATATTTTAAATTTATTAAAACAAAAGACGAACACAATTATACATTAGAGTAATGAATTAAAAGTGTGAAATTATTCAGTCTTGCTATAAATCGAAATAATAAATATCTCAAAAATATACTGAACAGTGATTACGGTAGAATCTTTGAATTAAAATTAGCATAAATGCTAATTTATAAAATTTTAAGCAGAATATAAGGATTAACTCTATGAAGCAAAGTTTATCTTTATTTATTCTATATCTTTATGTGGCTCAACAATTCAGCTAATGGTAAATATCATAAGATTGCAAAGTGGTGAAAAAGTTAACCGATGGACAGTTGTTGGAAAACTGGGAGAAGGTGGCTTTGGATCAGTATATAAGGTCACTGCAAGAATTTGTCAATTTAATCACTACTTATGTGCATAAGTAGTGACCATTTGACCTTTACAAATTTAGAGTTATATGTATTAAATGAGCTAATCCTTATATTCTGCTCAAAATTTGATGAATTAGATATAGAATAAAGATAAGCATAAAAACGTGTAAATTGTCGACATTATATGATTTTTGATAGGTTTCGAAAGGGAACGAACTTTATGCTTTAAAAACAGAAAGTTTGAGGGAGAAAATCAAAGTAAGCAGAGTCATTCACCAATGCTCATTTTAAAGAAGCATTCTTTGAATATGCAAATGATATTATGGCTGAGTTATTAAGTTATTAAGTATCATAGTATCAAGAAGCTGTATTATAAAGGAATATCAATTTTAACAGATGTAATGAAAGGAAAAAGTGCGAGTTATTAGTGAAAATTGCTCAAAAAATGACTTAAAAATAATAAAATTTCATATATAAATCTTTTTACAAAAAAAAAACCCGTTTATTACGGTAATTTTTCGTACAGTTACTAAAAATGGAAGTATATGTACTCAAGTTAGCAAATGGACGTAAGAGCAAACATTTTTGTATATGTGAAGATACAGGTATTTACAAAACGTGTTTATATTTGGTCATGACACTTCTTGGGTCTTGTTTACAGGTAAGGTAATTGAAGTTTCTGTGAACTATCATTAAGTGAAGTAATTCAGAATTCACTTTGTTTGAGAAACCGAAATTAAGTATCTTGAGGTTGATTATACCTTAAATATTTTTTTATGCACTGAAGCAATGTTTGAGCACGATAAATTTTTTAAAGTCATAATAGCATAATTAATCTTAAGAGCAATTAATGATCATAAATAATACTGATACAGTAGTAACAATAATAATAATAATAATAATAAGTAATAGTGTTAATAATTACTATTATAATATGCAGGATATAAGAAAGGATTTGCCAAAGCAAAAGTTGTCTATGGGTTGTGCACTATCTGTTGGAATTCAGTGCTTAGAATCTATCGAAGAACTTCACGCTATTGGATTTTTACATAGGTAAGCTCTTTTGTTCAATTAATTAAGTTATGATTTATGTTTTGCACAAATTTATTTATATATGCATAAACTTTAGTCTGATAATTATAATTTAATTGGTGTTTGCATAAAATGAATGAAATGAATGAGTTTCTAATTTTTCTGGTCAAATATGAAAAATGATTAAATTTCGCTCAGAAATCAAGTAATCAGAATACCAATAAATACGGCAAAAAGTGGAGTATTCAAAACATTTTTAATTAAAAAAGACTTTATTTCAAAGTTTAATAAATTGTTATTTTGATAATTTACTTGAAATGAGAAACATAAATTAAATAAATATTTAAATTAAGTAATTTTATAGAGATATTAAGCCAAACAATTTTGCCACTGGACGAGGAAAGCTAAGTGAATTAAGACGAATTTACATATTTGATTTTGGAATGTGCCGCAGTTACTTGGATCAACACGGATTGTTTCGGCCTCCAAGAAAGGTCAAAAGAAATTCATTACAAAGCAAGGCAGATAATTAAAAGCACACAAAATAATTATGAATAAGGATTAATATACACATCTGTTACAACTATCAGTTACGGTTACTAAACTGTATAAAATCATATTATTAAAATACCATAATAAGTAAAACCAATAAACTGACATGGGAGTTTTTGCTAATTCAATTCAGTAAGCCATCGTGAAAATAATTGTAGTGCGTTGAAGTGGAAAATATTCTTTCATTAGTGTTACTATTTTATAATTTTTATTTTGATTTAAAAAGTTACGCATAATGGTAATTAATCTTACATTATTTATAAACTTTGATCTTATTAAAATACATTATCTTAAAAAATTTTCGAGTAGTTTAAAAGTTGACAGCTGACTCTGCACGCTTTCAGATTGTTGGTTTTCGAGGAACTACTCGTTATGCGTCATTATCCTGCCATATCCGACGTGAGATGTGTCGCAAAGATGATATCGAATCATGGCTTTATCAGCAAATTGAAATTACACGTGGTGCGCTTCCATGGCGCTCGTTAGATGAGAAAAAAGATGACGTTGCAATGTACAAAGTATTAATTTAAATAAAAGCTTTCAAATTAACAGAGAAATGGAATTTACGACAGAACAAATTAAAATATTACTAGATATAATAAACTTTTATTATAATAAAAATACTAATAAAAGTATGGGTTTGGAGCAGAATAAATAAAATTGAAATAATTTATTATACTTTATAATTTTTGTGAACAAACAACGCTGGTTTTACTTTTTTTAAATACCAATTCTCTACTAATTAATACTAAATAATTATTTCAAAATTTTAGGAGAGATGTCGTTTTGAAGTTGGCTTACAAGAACTTATGGGTGGTTGTCCTCGAGAATATATTGAAATTTTGCGGTACATTGATGGCTTACGTTTTTATGATAAACCAAATTATGACAAAATTTATAAAGTTTGTTAATTTTACTTTCACTGAAATCATTCAAAGTATGCATATTTATATTAAAATTTAGTACATATTTATAAGTTTTAATTAAATTTTAAAACTAAAGTTATAAGACTAAATTTTTAAAGCTTAATTTTTGTAGTCATTTAGCTGATGCGAAAAGCTTTGGCTTCATTACGAGTGCAAGAATTTCCATATGATTGGGAAGGCCATTAAGAGGAATAAATAATCAAGTAAGGTTACAAAAATTTATATTTATAAATCTCGACTATTTCAACCAAAATTTTTAATTTATTCTCGTTAAATTAAATACTAGAAATAATTCATTTCAGTAATATATTTGTTTCATTAGTAAAAGATATTAGGGTGTATTAATTTTTGATGCAGTATATTTGATATTATGCAACTGGTATTACAAATTATATAGGTTTCAGAAAGTGGGATATATCAGGAAATCAGTGATTCAGATCATTTTGCTTAATTACATTGTTCATTTGTTTACAGTTGTTTTTAATGTTTTTTAAAATAATTAAATAAATGTAAATTTATTGCAAAAGTTGTGAATAATAATGCAATAGAACGACTTAATTATTTAACTTGTAATGTATTAGTTCTTATATTTTCATAATTTGCAATGGATATCAGATATTGTTAACAATCACTTGATAAATCAATTGTACATAACTGCAATTAATTAAAAGATTAATCATATATTAATTATGCGTAAATTGAATTGGCAGAAAATATATTACAAACACTAGTAGACAAAACGTCCAGTACGAAGGAAAAATATAAATTTGTAAGATTTAGACAAAACAAATGATAAATTAATGATGATAATAAAGCACTAAAATATGATAACGGAATTAAGTACTTAAATAAAGCAAATATTAACAATAAAATTGGAATAAATTTAGCTATTATTTAATCTTGGAGTGATTATTTTTGTATATCTCTGTTCTGTTTTTATGCAAATTTTTGATTATCGATCTGTAATTATACTTACACAAAATTGACAAATTATACTTTCATGTTTGAAATTATTTAAAATCTATTTTTATAATTACTTTAGTAGATTACTATAAGTGCAATATTATTTTTTATATTTCTGAATAAGAAACCTGCTTTCTGGCAATAAAACTTCAGTGCAGTAGAAGTAACGAGAAGATTCCTTGTAGAAAAATTCAAATGTAATAAATTCAGAAGTTGAAATCAATATTTCAATGGTAATCTGTATTTAATAATATTAATGATTGGCAATCATAATAATTAAAAATAATGGATGTTTTAGTGAAAAAGAGCTATAATAATAAAAATAATTGGATTTTAATGAATAAATGAATAATAATTTCTTCTACTCTAATGGTTACTTCTAGTCATAAAAAACATTCAAACAACACAATATTTCTTGTAATTTCAGATAAAATTATAATAATAGAAAATTAATTTTTTAATAATTTGTGATCATAACTTATTGCATTTATCAATTAACTTTAACAGCCACTTTTAATAAGTAAAAGCGAAGAAAGTCGGTCGAAGGGTCAAAGTTTAAACTGAAGCGAATCTCGCAGCTACTTCTAACTTAACTGAAGCGATAAAAAATAAGAAGTCGAGAATTAAGACTCTCGAATCGCTGCTGGCAATAAAAAAGTGCTTTGAGCAGATGTGAACTCAATCATTATTATTATTTTCATATCTTGAAAACAAGTTATTATCAGTTATGTGAAGTCATGTTTTCTTCAACTTTTATTTACCAATAGAAATTGAGTAAATATAAATGAAAACAAGCAAATGTTAGAGATGTGATTGTAATCACCCGTGAGAATTACTTTAAATACAATTGAGTATTAACAAAAATGTATTCATTTATTTACTTACTTACAATTGATCTTTAACGATTGCTAATAAGTATTCAAAGTAATCAATAAATTCATTAGATCAATCGATTACTGACAGAAAGTCTTGCAAAAGTTCAAGACTTACTAACTTAATGTTAAGATATGTTGTAAAGTAAGCAATCATCAGATGTCGAGAGCGAAATTGCTGAGCTAAGTGAAATGTTCCATTCTCGACTATTTTCAACCTCTCTTCTCCACATAAAATAATTATTTCACTCTTTCATCCACAGAAATTCTAGTAAATTTTGCAAGTGTAAGTGAATAATTCTATTATGTTTTCTAATTTTCAGTGTGCTAATATTTTTGAACTATTATTATTATTATTATTATTATTATTATTAATCATGTAATATTTCTGAATTATTATTATTAATTAATTATGTCTTATAGCCTTAAAATCATTCTAAGTAATTTTAATATCGTTTAAAATATCATAATTGTTATGGCTAATTTTTATTATTTATATATTTATTTACTGAATAATAATTTTAAATCTTATAATTATTTCGAGTTTGAGTGATGGATTATTGAGATAGTTACTTTTGATATTGATGATATCATTCACTTATTAGTAATTTAAATATAATTATTACTCTTGATATCAGTATCTTTTGACATCGATTTGATAATGTTTTTTGAAAAAAAAATATTAATGTTTCGAAAAAATATATATTTATTTGTGATATATTATTTTGTGATGCTATTATATTATACGCTAACCTTTAATCTCTTATTTATTTTGGTTCAAATTTTTGTATTCATTTTATATTTGAAACATGGTTAAAATTGTTTATTCATATAAATGATTCATATTTTACTGAAAGTTTTTAAAAATTTCAAAATTTAAACAACTTGAAATCTTACTTTGAGAAATTAATCCATTTTTCAACTTTTATTTTTGAAAGCATTTTGCTGACACGTATGCTTCACTGAGTTTATGACATATTACCATACGCAAAAGAGGCAGTTGAAAAGATATGAAATAGTTTTGCATAAATTAAGCTTAATTTTGATCTAATCAAGAACAGTCAATAATTGCACGTGAACAGCTAATAAGTTATAAATATATAACTGATTTTAATTATAATGCAAAACAGAGTGATTCAGTTGTGTATAAGATGTTTTCAGTGTTTTCACTTAAAAACTAAATAAATTACTCACTCATAAATTATTAACATATACTTTAATTAACTGTTCACGTGCATGTCCGACTACAAGTTTTATTATTTGAATTTTATTTATGGCAAAGAATAAATGTTTATTAAGTATAAGTACAAAAATATACGTAAACGTGAGTATGTAAATTATGTGCGATACACACGTAGCAATCCAGTTCTAACGTAATCTTTATCAAGTTTAAATAGTACTAAGAACTTATCGCAGAACATATGAATGATTCAGATGTTGACGTAAGAAAAAATAATTTTTTTCCCGTAGAAAAATAAAGGAGTGTTGGAGTTTATTAAGGCACTTTGTCTTTATTAAATAACACTGTTCAATAGATTACTTCCTGAATTCAGTTTTTTTCAGATTATTTTCCAAAAATACTGCAATAAATTTTACACTGTGAAAATATTTGTATTTAAAAAAAATTTTTTTGTTCATTAAAAAATTTTTCTCAGTTTGTAAAATAGGTTAAACTTTTTAACTTCATTTGAATTATTTAGTGCAAAACGTTTTGAAACTAATAAATGAATTTGAAATTCAACTTGCTTCAAAATTTTAGCTAGATTTAATTATATTAAAAGTATCCATCAAGGATGAAGTATAATAATTTTTGAAATTGCAGTATGTATTTTTAAAACTGTAATAATTATTGTATAGGTCCGTATACACTTACAATTTTATTATAATTTTTAGAAATTGCAAAAATTTTAAAGTAATTATTTCAGTATTTACAAATTAATCTAGTCATATATTTGAAATTATAATATTCACAAATTTGCTTTAAGCGTTAATAATAAAGTTTTATATCCATTTCGATTGAACTGTTCAAAATTAAATTTACCACGATAAAGTTATTTTAATTATCATATAATCAATAACTTAATTAAATATATGCAAATATTAATGTAACAAAAATTAACAAATAATTAAAAAAAAAAAGAAAAACTGAATTTTAAAAAAATGCAAGACTTTTTATGAATTAAATTTATTGCATTAAACACAGTGCACAAATTTTGAATTAGATTAAAAATAAAAGCAACCAAACAGGATCAAAATGCACCTTCCATCTCGTCTCATTCAATCTTCAGAAGTATTTGTCATAAAAGTATACTTACTTTGCTTGCATAACTTGCAAGTGCAATATTTTTAAATAAAGTAAAACTCACAAATAAAAACTTTTCTGCTTTACTTCTGTTTTCTTCCATCTCAAAAGTATCAACTGAGTACACGTTAACATAAAAGTTTAATGCAAATACATTACTTCAAACTAATCATTTCAATATTTTCGTTCTTCTTTTTTTCTAAAAATAAATATTACAAATTGAATCATCGCTGTATTTTTTACTCTTTCCATCTGATCCATTCGTTTTTTCAAAGTTTACATTCTGTTGATTTTTTGCTAGATTTATGCAAATTACAAACGTTAAAATTATGCGTACTTTACTTTTGAACTTTTGAACTTATCTTAATATTTTTAATAGAATATTTGATGCTACATTCGAATTCCTAGCTATTTTTTTATTTTTTTTAATAATTTAATTATTTTAATATATATTTTAGTATTTATTATTTACCTTTAATATAAAGGACCACAAACGGTTGTTATCTAATAAATTTGACACAACTAATCGAATGTTAATTGCTAACATATGATTAATTATTTTTTGTGTATTTTTAATTCACTTAATTTAGCTTTTCATTATTTAAACAATTATTCGTTACTCAAAACCTTTATATAACTACTTTTAAAACTATCTTTTTATTATTTTCAAAAAGCAAATGTAACTTTACTTTTGATTTGAAACTGACATTTTTTTAAAAATATTTCAGTATAGATCAGTGTCATTAATCTGAAACATCTTAATTTCTTCTTCTGTAGTATTAAAAACTGATTCCATTATAGTTAGTAAATTATATGTCTTTCATAGTTTCTGTTAAATTATTATTATGAACCATGAATTGTTTTGTTTGAGAAAGTGAACAAAAGCTATAGACAAATTATTTTGTTGTCCAAATTTAGAAAAAAAAATTATATAAAGCTAACTATAGCTTTGATTTAAATCTTGTCAAAAAACGTATTAATTTATTAAAATTCATCTTCTCTTTTTTTTAAATTTAAATTTATAAATTTTGCAATAATTTTGAATTTGTTTTCTCTATTGTATTTTTTAAATAATCTTTTTCATTATTATGAGATTAATTTTGCATAAATAATCATATTAAATTGAATGATCTGATGGAAATATTGAATTAAATAAATATTCCACTAATTCTTGCTTACCTAATATAAATATTGTTAAGTGTAATGAATAATTTACAAATTAAATTACTTTAAAGTCATTTCTGAATGTAATAATTCAAGTTATCATTGCTATGCAAAAATGTTATTTCAGAAAAAGGTTTAAAAATCATATTTAATAAATATTGTATTTATAAAGTTTTCCATGTCACCTTTATTTATTTTAATAACAATAATGGAACAGTTATTAAAATAATTGTTTTACAAATATATATTAATAAATAAAAAAAACTGATTCAATTACATTTATATAAAAATACAAAAGATTTTAATACTTTAACAATAATAATTATAGAATGTGATCATTAATTTATTAAATTATTATCATTTAAACAAAAATTATAAAAATAAACACTTCATAAATATTCAAATATATGCCAAAAATTTTTGGTACGCATTAAATATATTTTAGCTCTAAGAATTAAAACAATTTTTTCGACTTATCTTTAAAATAAAAACAAACTAAAAGGTTAATAAATCAGTTACTGAAGTCTATAAAATACGTTATTATTTGAAAGCTTGGAATTGATACTTTAACATTTACATTTATTTATTGCTTTGTTTTGCTAATATTCTTACTTTACGAATCTTTTAGATATGAGTTAACTTTAATTCAAATTTATTAATGATTATAATGAAATTTAAATTTCATTACTGACATGAAAACATGGTAGAAATTAATAACTTTCTTCAATCTTTCAGATTATTTATTCTTTTTCTATGCTTACAATAATTTAGACATATGCAAAAATAGTACATTATTATTTATCAAAATTTTTATTTTAAAATTTTTTAATTAAAAAAATTGATTTAATTATTTTTTTACATATGAAATTGAATAAATGCAAAATGTTTAGTGAAAGACTACTTTATTTATAAATTAGTTAAAAGTAAAAACTTGTTTTTATTTTTAATTTTT